TTTCAGTCAAGGTAGCAGCAAACAAGGAATTAAACCACATTTCAGTGAACTATCGCTGTGTAGCAGAAAGCTCCGTTTTTAACCACGGCACAGATCCTAATCTCTTCCCATAAAAACCCAAAGCTCTGAGTGAATGCAGAGCACGGGAGGAGGTAATGCATTACCTCCCTGGAGGGAAACAGGCTCAGATTCAGGCGAGGCGTCGAGCTCCTCGTAAGTTATGAGGCTGTTCGCCTGGCAACGGCAGTAAGTTGTATTATGGCCTTGCTTGCTCTGCCTTCTTTTCTCACAACACCATCTTTCATTTTAATGGAGGGTTTTCAGCCAGCTTTGTTAGGGCTGCTGCTAATTGTACTGGATTCATGTGTTCTACCAGGGCACGGGAAAAAGCCGATGCTGGTTAAATGGCAAGGGTGAGTTTTACTGCCTGGCACTTTGAACAGTGTAGGTCTGGCTTTGGGGAGTGGGAGGAGGGGGCATGGCAGGGAGGAGAGAGGAATTTAGAAACAAGTTTAACCCTCCGGCTGCCATGGAAACTCAGAGGTACCCTCCCCGTGGCAGTGATGGGGCAGAGCACAGCTCCACACAAATCAGATAGCCCCCAAGGAGATGAAAACCCTTTTGCGAGTGATCTTTCTGACCTTGAAAGATGCAGGCCCACGTCTTCCACTGGGAAATGGAGTTTAAAAGTTCTTTGGTGCTTGAAGTGTCAGCTTCAGACCTTCTGGAAGTGGTTTTCATGGGTCACCAGAGGGAACTGGAACTTGTTCTGGAACAGTCTCATCACAGCTTTGTAAGTAACGAAGTTTGCGCCCTCAAAACCTAGAGCTAGATTTTACTGAGAAACTATAACCATACTGAGCAGGGAGCTAGCCACGTCTTTCCCATCACGCTGCCCTGTAAATAGGTAAGCAACAATGCAAGGACCAGGACAGCTCTACTGCCCATGAGACCTGGCTGTGAAACAACACTTCTGGCTCGTGGGACAGAGTTTACTGCTGCAGGGCTCCCCAGGCGCCTCAGCACAGGGGCCCTGGGAGGTCAGAGAGCTCCTGGTTTTCTGATCCTATTCCCAGAGCCTCTGGGAGACATGCACAGAAATCCTCTAATCTCTGATGCACAGCACCTGCCACCTTGGTCCCCATGATCCTTCCCAGGGCCCTGAATGCTGCAGTCCCACCAAGCTTACCATCCTGAGTGACCAGAACTTCCCCAGGCACCCTGTTCAGACAAATAAACCCCAATGAGGTGGAGAAATTAATGTCTAATGGAGAATCCACCTGGGGTGTCTCCAGAAACACAGTTCTGAAATGTGTGGCTCTTCAGGCAGAGGTGCCATCATCCCAATGCCCCTTCAGCTGATGTGATGATGCCTGTCCCCATCTTGCTGTGGGTTTGGACCTCTTCACCCAGAGGATATAAAACCATGGTGAAGAAGATGTAGGCTTTTGCTTCTCACCCATTCAGATGAACCAGGCAGTAAAACCAGGCCACCCATTCACAGAGCTCTTTCCCCATCAGCCACTGTTGTAGTAACACCAGAAATGTCAGGAAACTCCCCCAGAGAGGAAGCCTGCCCACGCCATGCACCTAAGCAGTTCACATTTGTAGCCAAGAAACATGGCAAGGAGTTTACTAGCTGGCAAATGGACTGATTTATTTCACTGCCTTTATTTTAAAGGGCAATTAGCACTGTAGAAGGATTCTCTCTGCCTCTTCAATGTGCCACGTTTGTTAGTTAAAACTTCACTTTATGGTTAACATTATAACATATGTCACAGCTCTGCATGTGAGTTGCTCTGTGGCACCAAACAAACACTGCCAGAGCAGAAATTCTGAGAGATGTGAATGTGGGGGGAAGTAGTGCTGTGAAATAAAATGGTACCCACTGAAACGTATGAAGAAGGGTTTTGGTGAAAGGCTAAGCTCCTGGAACTCTGGAAGATGTACTATTTGGGTTTTTCCCACATAACTGCTCTCTTGAAAGTGGGACTGTTTGATTTGGGTATGGTTTGTTTTATTCCTGTGCTGAGAGCGAAGTGCAAATCCCGTTATGTGAGGGCTGTGCTCAGGGACAGTGAGTAGCAATGTCAGACAGCAGGGGAGGTGAACCAGGGTGGCCCACAAACCACACTGTAAACCTGGTTTTGGGCCAGGGAAGACCCAGGTTTTCCACCAGGCAAGGGGAATGGCCTGGATGTGCAAATGGGAGATGAATATGTTGGCCCACCCCGCTGCTTGGACTGGCCCCTGAGCTGGGGCATACTTTTAACTTCATCACTGAGCCATGCAATGACAATCTCTTACTGTCACTCAGCTAAAGCAGAGATGACAAGCACATCACTACTGTGACCACCCTGGTGACAACTCCAGGCCATGACTTCAGCTGTTGCCATGCCCACTACTGACAGGTTGTAGGGAATACTCTTTCGGGGGGGGGGGACGGGACGTTTTTTGCTGGTGGTTGCAGAGGGGCAGGCACTGGGCTCCTGGTCTTCATCAAGACAGGCTGTCACCAGAGAGATCAGAAATCATTTATTTTTAGTGCTATGAATATGTAGAAACTTGTCTGAGCTTCTCCACACAGTGGCCACGAATTTAGAAACAGCGTCAGAAATCACGGCATTCAGTACCCTGTGAATGGGGTCAGAGCTATAAATTTCTCTCACTGGCGTGTGAGCCATTTGCCATACGTGACTTTCTGAATTTGTGGTTGTTTCTCTCCATACCCCTGTGCGCCGAGTCTATGACTGAGATTTTTATATTGTGCCTCTGAGACACGAATTCCTTCTGGTGCTTTTGCCTAGCATCTTAAACAGGCTTGCTCGTTCTCTTCCCCATACTCTTTGCTAATGACTTCTGGCCACAGCATGGCCCTTAAATCACAGGCTGCACCTGGACAGGCATAAACTGTGACTCTCCCCAGACAGAGGGTATTTGTTTAAAGCAGTGAGTGATGTGCCTCCAAACACACGTAGTTCAGCCTTGTGAGAATGGCTGCTCCTATGCCAAGTCCAAGACAGGTCCTCTGACTGAGGCAGCAGAGCTTCTGCCCATGGTGGCAAGTCCTGCAAAGACCTCAGGAACATTGAACAAGCCTTCTCAAGGACACAAAGGGAGGAAATGTTCAGTGTAGATATCGTGGGGCATATGTTAATGTGATCTGTGCCTTGTGAGGAAAGTTTAAGCTAAGGAAGTTCACACTGCGGAGATGGGAAGACAGTGCTGCCATCCTCCTCCACTTCAATGCGTGTTCTTTTCCTCCCCCACCTATATCTGTTCTAGTTATAAAAGCTTTTTTTATTGCAAGACTATTTCTGCTCAGTGAATTAAAATGAAGCATTTGCCACCCCTCCTCCCCAGTGCAAGTGCTCCCGGCAACCGTGCTCTCTGCCTGGTCCCGGCTGCTCTGATTATCCTGAGGAAGAAGACAAGTGTAGCAGCAGGACACAAGCAGGTTGTTGCTAAAGCCCAGCTCTGCAGAGGTGCGCTCGTTGAATGGGACTGCCTTATTCCACAGACCTGTTCCCTAGGAGCCTGGTGAATTGCTAAAGGCAACAGATGTGACTAAGATGTTCCCTAACAAACTTTTAATCCTTTTGGCACAGCAGAGCCAACACACAAACCTAAATGGAATCACTGGGACCGTTTGTTAAATTTCTGACTACTTGATATGTATCTATAGCTCTTGACCATTGTCCATCAGGGCCCTGCCAACACACTCGCTGTATAAAAGCAGAGAGAAACATCTTTGCCATCGTGATTTTTCAACCATAAATTTCTGGAAGATGATCTTTGTGAAAACAGCACTAGCTTCATGCTTCATGTACTTAGCAGGGAATAGACACCAGGCAAAGGAAATGCCAGCTAGAGGGCTGGTGACACAGGTTTATGAATGTGGAAACAGGCTAACGATAGAAACTGTTTTGTAGGTGCTAGCAGATGTGCTAAGTTTTGAAAGCAAAGGTTTCACAGGATTTTTCCCAGAAGAACCCCTCTGAAGCTATGACCAGGGCAGACACCATTCTCTGTTGCCACCACAAGCAGAAAGCAGAGGAGGTGGCAGCATCCCAGATGTCAGCAGGTTGCTTTCCTTCACTTTTTGTTTTTTCAAGCCTCCATAAGTAGCTTCAGTGTTAACCACCGTCTTGCCTGTGCTTCAAGTCCCATGGCCTTTCAATCAAAGGACCATCTAGCCTTCAAAAATAAATCCAAGGACTACTGCACTTTGAAGAAAGGATGGTCTTGTACAGCAACCACTTGTAACCAAAAGAATACAAGTCATCAAATATTGATTATTACGGTAAAGAGTAGCACATAGGGTAGAAAGTCATAACTGCTTTGTTTTTTTCCTTAGAGACAAGGAACTGTGCTCATTTGGCTTTAAATAAACCAGAACAGTAACTTTCCAATGGCTTCCCAATCTCAGCTTCAAGTGTTTCTGAACACAGCTGAAGATCACTTTCTTGCTAAGATCTTTTGTCTCATTCCATCCTGCAGCTTTGTGACAAAGCTGAAGCTATTTCGTGGAAGGGGCGGAAGTCAATGAGTCAGTGAGTGCACTGTCTCTTGGCTGAGGTTGGATTTATTTGAACTTGTTTTTAATATGATCAACCAATCACTTATTGACTGTTTTGCTTTAAATGTGGTCACGGGCTGCAGTCTGAAGTAAGTCAGTATGTCTTCTACTCTTTAGTCCCCCTCTGCCACGTAACCATGTTCCAGTACTCTCTTGTATTGTCAAACCATACTCAGAGCTGTAGAGCACTTTAATGATCCCATCCACATAGTATGGTGGGGAGTACAACTGTGTATGTTCTGTTTTGCTCCTAACACTGGGGAGCTCTCTGACTAAACACATCTTTCTCTTCCCAGCTATCATTAAGCAGTTACTCTTCTTTCAGCACAACTTCATCTGCCACTTAACCATTAATTGTATCTGTATTTAAAAGATATTTGAAATGAAGCATTCAATTATTACAGACCTTAAACACTCAGAATAAGGCTGCCATTTGATTTCTTTATTTCAGAAATGATAAAGCACTTCAGCATTAAACTCTTGTTCTCTCCAACAGCAGTCGAGCCACTAAATTGATGACATGCGGATTAACTAAACAGTCTAGCAAATCATTGGTAGAAAGGTCTGTCTGTGATGCATTTGGACTGCCGTCTGAACCCATTTGATGTGCAGGCGTTTCACAGTCATTACTCATTGCCAGTTGCTTCCTTGTGCAGTGTAATTTTCCAAAATGTCCTCCTTCATTTTCATGGAGAAGATCTCTACAGTCACTTTCAACTGCAACTGCACCTATGGAGCTTGTTTCTTGAGATTGTGGTAAAACTTGAATAAGATGAGGCCCAAAAGGTATTTTCTGCAGATTTTCTGCTTTAAATGTTGAAAAGCCAAACTCATGGGTTAGTAATCTGCAGCCCCCTGGTTCACAGCCAACTTCCCTTTTCTTCCTCTTGCACGAGGCAATTGTCCTTTGCTCTGCATCACTGCTGCTGGAACATGGCTGCTCTGATTCACTTGCCTTTTGACACTTGAAATATGCAGACACTGCTTTATTCAGGTATTGAAGATTGATTTCATGGGATGTTGCCTCAACCTAAAAAAACACCCAGGATATACTCAGTTAAAAGGCGATGTGTTTCAATTCAGTGTTGCATGATTATCGTCCATGAATTACTTTTGTTACATGAAGGGAAGGAATTTAAAACTCTTTTTCTCAAGCAGCAGAAAGACTCAGGGGAAGCTAAGCAAAATGTCAGTAACTCTCTATTATCGCTGCTATAATGGGAGCAAGAGAGGGCTTACCTCTGTGGGATTTAGCCAGGGATCGCCATCACTGGGATTTTCTGCTGATTTTAGGGCACACACCAGCATTCGAGTTATCGCTTCTTCTACGCGGGCTTCATGATCTGCATCCTGCCTCAAGGGAAGAGAAAGTGTTTGGAGACAGGTTAGCACTTGAGTCTCTCCACAGAGCTGGCTCTTGGGAAGATCTTGGGAAAAAGTAAATTATAGGCTTGGTTTGAAAGCCCTACTCATGTATGCAAAGTCAGCGAAAGACTTCAGATTTGTGATGCTCCTACTTGTGTACTGCACCCGCATGGGTAGCAGCACAGGCTTTGGTGTAACTACTCATCTGAATAAGGATTTGCAAAAAATAGATTCTAGTTGTGTATATAATCTTTCCTTTTATTAGTGTTCTGTTAATTGAATTTGGTGCTTGAAATTACAATGCAAATTTAGCAATTAATGTATGCAGTTATATAGCTGTTCAGGACTAGAAGAACCAGGGAAGCACATAGGAAATTTTATCTATATACATATTATGTCTAATTTAAGTACTTAAAACATGCAGGGTATTACAGCAAGGCAGCAACTATCTAGGGGCTATAGAGGCACAAAAGTGAGTCTTAAGGAAATTCAGGAAATATTTTATCATGTAACAGCAGCTGACATACTGCTGCAGTTCAGCAGAAGGAAAACATGTTTTCTATGAAAGCTCTCCAGCAAAACTGAAAATGAAGTAACTGAGTCATTGTTTCAGGCATTCACTTCCTGCATTATTCCCTCAGGCAGCTGGACACCAGCTAGCTTGGGATAGCAGGACAAAACTTTCTACGATCTTTTTTTAGCTTTCTTTCCCACTTAACTGACGATTTTTTTTGTATGTGGAAGGGAAGGGTATGTGGAAGGAGGTAATAAGACTTTCTAACTATTCTAGGATTCTATGTGTGGTTTAGCCATTTCAAAGTACCAAGTGCCAAGGAGTGGAAACATAAATTTGCTTTAAGATGCTAAGACATACGAGTTTTGGAGGAAACATGTAACCCTGTCAGCTCTGAACTGTGACTTTGGGGAACACCGCAAGCACACCATACATGTTGCTAGTATGAGTGCTGAAAGGCAGTAATTCATCCTGGAACCCTGAGCAGAATTTGGGGTAGAAGCAGGGGGACATGCTCTTAGCATTCATTTAATCGCTTTGGATGCTTGGCTTGTTAATGGCCTCATATAACAAATTCCCCAAACTGAGTTTGGTATCATGTGGAAATTACTTAAGGTGTTGCACTCTTGGTATTCATCCTGGTCTGCTGAATAACAGGGTTGTAATTGCACGAGCGTATGTTAGGAAGCAAGGAATACTTTGAGTAGCTCACATCCAGCTGAAAGCAAATTAAACTTCTAAAGTCTTGCCAATATAATTAATGGTTTCACTAGGACTATAAATGCTGGCACGATTCACATCTGTCAATGTGAAAGCAGCTGGTAACAGCTGCAAGCAAGAACTGCTTGATTTGGTAATGGAAATGTTCTCAGTATTGTCTTTTAGCATCCATGTCAGATTTTATTATTATAGATGGGTTGCCTAACACCAGAGAGTGCTGTTTGAACACCAACAGCTATAGGGACAATTTCTATAAGTAATTTTCATCTGGGTTGCAAAAGCAACACTTGCTTATGGCAGCTTTTGATATTTCGGGAAGGCAAGTGTACATGTCACTCACTAGCAAGATCCAGCAAACGCTCCTCTGTTTTTGGCACACCACTACATGCTTTAGCTGTCATCAAACAGGGTCTTAGTGAATTCTCCAAGATCTTTATGACAAGAAAGGCCATGAAGTTTTAGCTCCACTATTTCATTCTTTTTTCTTGCAGCACATAAGAACAGCTAGAAATGCTGCAGCTAAAGCACCACCCAGCCACCTGGGAGATACCAGTCTAGCACAACTGATCTAACCCTGACGTGCTCCTCCAGAGGGGGACAATTCCTGAGGCCCAGCTTAGGGTACAAGTGCGTGTGTTGACATCAAGGTGTTTCTCTGGCACTAGGCACCGCCTGACTACAGTTAGGGCTATGTGAGAGCTTGGTTTGGGCTGGGGCCCTCTGATCTTTCTAAGTACATAGTCTCATTTGGAAAATTTCTTCATAAGGGAAACACCCAAGCAAGCTCCCCTGCTCTGCAACTGCTTGGTTTGATGCTGGTATGAGAAATGTATTATGGGGTCTTCATCTCCATGTAGATTTCCAATCTAATAAAGGTTTTTAAAAGATAAGGGGAAGGGGGGAAACACTATGTATTTCAGGGAGGCAGCTTTCACAGTCTATTTCAAAGGGTCTTTGTTTTCATTTATATTAAGCTAGGATTCATGATAAAGTAATATGAATCAGAACACTTTCTGGAGCATTGAGATGTCCCTGCAGGGGGCTTGGACTAGATGACCTTTAAAGGTACCATCCAAACCCAAACTACCCTGGTACCCCTGGAACCATTCGATACATACTGGTTAACATGAGCAAGAAAACTCAAAGCCTGGAGAAAAGAAAATTAATTAAATACTTGAGAAAATCCAACTCCAGGCAAATCAAAACTATTACCAAGAAATTAAAATTTAGAAGTCCTCTGCCACCCCCTTCCTATCACATTAATCCAATTTAAATTCTAATTTAGCTTTGCATGTAAGCATATGCTTGAGATGAAGTTGCTGTTTTGTTGTCCCCCATTCAGCACAAAGCTAGTTAGCCTGTAAGAAATTGGACATGAAAAGTTTAGCTTGTGTTTAGCTGTTTGCCTGACTGAGGTAAACTTGAATGTGATTTCTGCTGAACTGGGGCTTCAGATTCGGAACCTTGGATAGTTCTTCAGGAAAAGCTGTCTCCATAAGGGCACTTCCTTCCCCAACCTCTGAATACAGAACACCCAAAATAGGGCAGGCAAGGGACAAATATCCATGCAGACATGGAAGTGCTACATCACCATGACACAAAAAGGAAAATACCAGTTCAATCCAAGAGTTTATGCTGATAGTGATGGGATCAATGGATTCCACATAGTGCCACCAATGCCTTGGAACAAACAAGACCTGGAAATGGAGACATTGCATTAGATACTAGCAGAAGCTTGAAGAAAGATAAGGTGATTTGTTTAAGGTGATGTGGGATGCAGAGGCAGAATGAGGCAAGGAATAAGGGTGGGGTAGGAGGTGATCTTTATTTCTTTCCTCTAAAGAGCCTTTTCTCAACCCTCCTTCTCCTCCCATTGTATCAATACTATTACGTAAGAAGTGGACATGATCCAGAATTAGCTCTGATCTAAACTCCTTCTCATGTGAAGCAGGTCTGTAACCTTATAACTGCTCTAGGTAAGCAAGGTCTGGCTGTGTGAAGGGAGTGCAGCTGGTGTAGCAGTAGAGCAGGGCTTTAGAGAAAGTCTCAGCCAAGCAGTATTCTGTAGACTCTCCAATTGACCAGACTTCCCAGTTGTAGAAGGACTGCCAGCTGGCTTCCCCCAAAACTAGGTATCCTAATGCTCATCTAGGTGACTCATGATATGGAGCTTTAATTCTGTAAATAATCACCAGTATTAAACTTGCCATTTTTAGTAGACAGGCTTTTAAAAGAGCGTGTCCCAGGAACCATGACAATCTAGTTTAGAGGAAAGCTTTACAACTATATTGGGATGATAGCTGTGACATAAAATTGATTCCAACCCATGGCTTTTATGGTACAAAGACATTAATGTTGTTTTGATGATATAGGACAAGCTTTACAGATTACTGAGCATTAGATTAACATAGAACTATCAAGTAAAGCATAAAAGATTGTTTTTGACAAGGAATATAAATGGTAGGACACAGATAAAAATATACCCTTCAGAATGGGGAAAGTAAAGCAATGATCAGTATCTGAATTGCAGACAATTCTTTTTCTTGGTAGACGCAAATTATTTAAAATAATGTTCTGCTTCCTACATAGTCCTGTGCTTCATTATATCAAAACACTAATGAAAATGTCTGTGTAGGGAACAATAACTGTGGCCTAGTCCCGTAAACAGTTACTTATAGGACAACCAGAGCAAAGTCGTTTTTGGGCCAGGGGACAAAATGTTCTCCACATTTTGTTGAATTCCACATTGAAACTCCACAGGTTTTAATTTCAGTCAAACAAAACCTGCATTAGCTCTCTAAAGGTCAAAAACATTTGGAAATCATACTTTAATCCAGTACAGCATACAGAGCAGAGAAGGAAGTCAGTCTGCAGAGGGCCGCTAGTTGAAAAATATCACAAATTGGTTATTCCTGACATCTAAAAGTGGACAAAACACTACACACACTGAAGCCAAAACACATTTTCTACACTAAACAACTCTGAATGGTGCTTTTAGCACAGAAACCTACACTTTCAAGTGCAGCTGCATTAGTTATAGTGAGTTTGTTAGTGTTAGCGTTTGCCCACATTTCATTGACTATCAAATCATACAAACCTTCCCCTGCCCCCCACTCCTCTGTTCTATAGGGGGATCTTACACTAGACTGTTAAAGAATCTGGGTGCCCTCCAAATGACAGGATGTAATGATGAAGCCTGAAAAACTTGCTATATAGCAGAAGGTGTCTTAGCTTCTGGAGTAAGTAGCTGTTTACAACAACGAGGTGCTTCCTGTGAGACTTGTGTAGGAAGAGTGAGCTTGCAACATGCTGAAGAAGTGGATGAAGGCACTAGTGAATTAGGGTATGGTGCAGAAGGAGTATGTAGTAAGAGAACAAAACCAAGAAGCAAATTAAGGCAAGTGTATAAACGGTTCAGTAAGAGGGTCTGCCTGGAAAATCAAGATGGAAATTAGGTATGGAATGTGCTGGCTCAACATGACTCAAATGCAAAGCAGAGACAGACTGATTTGGAAAGAGGAGGTATAACTAGGAGGAAAATATGTTCCCCCCCAAGTAGTCCAGTCTTTTCAAACTGAAGTGAAGGAACTTCGCCTTTGCAGAGACTAATAAGGTTTTACTTGCCAAGAGATTATGGGTAATAACTGCAAAGTTGTGCATTTCAGCAGCTGGCACTGTTTGCTAATGCACTTTATAGGAGAGCTACACAGCTGTGGCTTAAAGAGACAAAACGGGTACCATAAAGACCCTTGCTCTCCCCTTGCTCTCCCTCTTTTATTTTTGGGCAAGCTCATGCTTGACAAAATAAAGATTAATAGCAGCAAAAGAACTGATACTGGAAAATGCTCAGGGCTGAAACTTTAAGGAAGACAAAGAAATGGAAAAAAAAAAGTAATTAAAAGCAAAAAATCCAGCTGGCAAGGGGAGCAGCAGAACTAACACAAGATAAAAGAAAAAAATCCAGCAAAGAGAGGAGTAGGATTATTCCACCTTTACGAACTAGTATTCTTCTAGCTTTGCAAACTAGAAGCAAAAAAATCCACAAACAACTATCATCTCCACAATAAAATAAAGCAGACTTCCATTTGTTTATGAATATGGGACACAGAATTAGCTACATCTGAAACTACATTTCAATAGCAAATGTGAAATTAAACCACAGTGAAATAACACACGGGTACACAAAACCGTAGCAAACATTTTACAGGGAAAATGTAAAGTGCAAAATCAAGAAGTATTCCACGTCAAGAGATAATCTTGTGTTAGCCTGCTTTCTACAGAATATATCTGGCTTTGTGGGCTGGGAAGATATTGATCTAAATGGCAACCAACCAGATAATTTTAATATTTAGGCTTGTGATAGGCAAATATAGCAGATGAAGTCAAAGTAGGACAGAAACCTCAGAGAAGATAAAACAACATTCTGGTCTGTAACGGGAGCAAAGAAACCAAGAGAACAGTTGGGAGAGCAAGTGAAGCAATGCTGAAGATTTGTACAGTGCAGAGAACAGAACACGTTTAAATTCTCAATGGACATGATTAACTCGATACAGTGCAAAGGTAGAGCAAAGGTGGAATTGCTTCAAAAAGAGAGCATACCCTGGAGTAAAATACTATACCAAGAAATTTATGCTCATTAGAAAAAGATATTTGGGTAAATCAGGAAGAAAAGGATGGCAGAATGCCAGCGTAATGGGAAGAAAAAGATGGGGGGGTGTGGGGGGATGCAAACAAGTCCCAGAGCTGATTGCAACCCTGGAAATGAAGAATAAAATAAATAAATAAATGTGTAGACAACTGTGTGGGAGCACCACATGAGGACTGTGAAGGTACTGCCACCCTAGCCTATGCCAGGTCCCAGCTGGTGCCTGGCTGCCCTGGTGCTAGGAATTTGCTGCTTACCCTACCTGTCTCCTCCCTCCTGAGCTGGTGTCTTCCCATGTGCTGAAACAGCGCACAAAGGGCTACTGACATCAGAAACACAGGCACAGGCTGGGGAAAAGCATGGTGAGCAGGAAGGGAATGTGGCTGTTACCATACTGTGTCCATAGGGACACAGGTGAGGGACTTACAGAAGCTTAGGGAAGAGATGGAAAAGTAGACTTGGGAACTGGAAGCTTTCACCATCAGTTTGATTTTTGGGCACTTGTGGGGTTCTCCATGTGTGTTTCAGGCTTAGGGCTGTTTTCATCAGCAACTCTAGTGTAAATTCAGCTCCTGGACCTTTCTGCCTCTTCTGTGATGGACACAATAGTTTTGGTGTCTAGAGCTTGAGCTGGGCTCTCTTCTTTCTCTATGGGGTGACTTGGGGCCATGTGGGAATTTTCATATGGAACACTACAGAGCTCTATTCTGTCTTTCTTCACTGAAACAGAATTATCAAACATCTACTGTGTATGATGCTGCAAATCACTTAAACTCTTCTCCAAAAAAGTAATTTTTCACTGCAAACCCTTTAAAAAAGTATTTTGTATACTTGTAGATGGAACATTTCATTGCCTTTTCAAAAGTTTGAATTATTACATTTCCTGATTTACTACAACACATTTTTCGGTACCAGTTATATTTTCCTTGTTTTTTTCACACTGTTCCGCTCTTTAAGCCCAATCTGAAGTTCTCACCCATTTGTTTTAAAGGTGGCACATATGGAAACCCCTCCCTGACTTACAAAGATTTATTTCTGCTTGCTCAGGTTGGAAGTCAGAGCTCTTCCTGAGTTATTGAGAGCCTTGGCTGCTGAGCAGGATCCCACGGTATGTTAGGTACCACAGCAGGAGCACAGGAGGAGGAAACCTTGCAGCTGTATGCAGGAACTTAGTGATAACTGTAGTCAAGGGCACAGACTGTTTGAGATGCATTTGTTTATAGACTTTCAGAAGCAAGCAAACTGTAATGTTGATCTTTTTTTAAAAGTATTTGCTCCCCCATATGGTGACAATGCTTTTCATGGCTGTAAAGGTGCATCTTTCTTGCACTTGGTATGCCTCCAGGACTAGCTCAGTTAGGCCTTTCCTTGCACCTCTGGTGTATAGGACTGTGCTGCAACTCCTCTGGCTCCAGGCTGCACCTGAGACACAAGGCCAGGAAGCAAGAGAGCAGGCAGCAGGGCAGCTGAGTGCTGCCTGTAACAGCATGGGTCCTGGGGCAGCATCAGAGTGAATGGCACTGCTCATGGAAGCTCAGTGTACAAGCTGGTTGCTCCCCACTAGGAGGGCAAATGTGTGGAGCCTTATTTGTCCATCTTCATACAAGCTGGGATGTGCTTTCTAGTCTTTTTACCATTGTCTAGTTACATGGATTAAGAGGAAGATGGATTAAGAGCAATTACATTAACGAGCAGGAAGGAAGCAAGAAGCTGGTGAGACATTGGGCAGAGGAAAGAATGATCAATCATTCTGTATTTGTATAGCATCTCAGGTTGTTGTTTTTTTTTGTAGCCTTTTCAGGTGGTACTAATTTTTCCTACTTTTAATCATCAAAAAAGTTAAGCATCTATGTGCTCCTTTTATAGCGTGTGCTGAAAGACAAGATGGGAGGAATGTTCCTGCAGGACTGCAATTGTGTAAGACAGAGAGAATGAACCGCCATGTAGAGGTTCCAGGTTCCTCCCACTGATGGCAGACAGGACATCTGTCCTGGACAGGGTTTAAGTTGAAGGTGGCAGATCCTAAGCTCTCTTAACACTTGTCCCAGAGTGTGGGGTGGAAGACACTAGAATGGAAAAATTTTGCCCCATTTTCAGCATTTCAAGCAGTATTTATTTTTCTATTTGTGAGAGCAATCAAGGTATTACTAAAAATAGGCAGTGAGTGCAAATCCACCTCCTGTTCCACACTTACCACACAGTCTTCTAATAACCACATAGGTAAGCAGGTACAAGTTTTTATAAGGAGCCCCTACATTTGTGTGTTACAACTTGAGCTTGTAACTTTGCAGCTGAACAAGACTATATCCACAAACCCTTGAACTACTTGGCTAGCTATTTCAGTAAGTTAGATATCTAAATGTTATCATAATTTGTACTGAGACCAGGTCACTAATGTATAACCAGAAGTTGCATTAAGGCTTCTGTGGAAACACAGCTGGCAGCCACTGGTTAAGTACAGGATAAAATCTTACAAAACCTAAAGTCTCAGCCAACTACCAAAATTCATAGCAGTGACTGACCTCTGAACAATACAGTGAAGGGCACAAAGAATGCAACTGAAGTTCACGTTGTGCATTGGTACAGTGTCATACGAAGAAATTGTGCTTTAAAGCCTTAGATGTGTACAGAAAAATGGCTTGTAGCAAACAGTGACCAGAAGGTGGCATTAGACACATTAAGTTTTTGATATTCAAAGCTTCACTTGCCATACACACAGTTACTCTCCTGAATACCTAAGAAAACCTTTGTCTTCGTTTTTCAATCCCTTGTTGTTATAATATCTAATAAAAAAATATTTTGTATACCCTCTGGGAAGGAATGGAGATGCTATGTATTATTACAAAATAAGGCTGGCTGCATATTCTGTAGTGATTGTATTAATTCTACATGAAACCCACTGCTAAGCACATATCAAGACTGTTATTATTTAGGGATCCTTTTCCCTGTTAACAAAGCAGTTCTATGCCATTCCTTTCCTCTCCATCAAATGGAAGCAGTCCCCAGACATCTGCCCTGTAAGTTTCTGGATGAGATGATGGAAAACCCCAAAGGAACTGATAAAATGGATGAAGGTAATACATCACTGCTCCATCGTTGCTTCTGTATTACTTTCCCCCTAGAAATCCACACAGCGACTCCTTCATGGCAATGCAGGCAAGTTGTATTACAGAGCTGGCTCAAGATTTTTATTCCTAGCAAGATTAATTTGTAATTGTTTTAAGTCTAATTAAAATTAAGTAATATTAAAGGTTTGCTAGCATACTTGATCATTCCAAATGAGATTATAAATTGAAATAGTGTTGGGGATCATGGATAATGCAGTGCTTAATGGATGTGGCATTTTTATCAGTTGTAAAAATTTGTTCTTTTTGCTTTAAATTATTGAACACTGCAACTTTACAAAGTGCAGAATGTGAAACTAACCATCTGCTTCAGGAAGTATGACTAGGAGCTAATGTAAGGCAAACAATAAAAGCTGATCACAGATTTCCTATTTGCCACTGCAACAGCAGAAGAGCATACTCTTCCCAGTTGATAGGCATGATCCTCTTGTTGAAAACTACTATCCTTCTCCAATGTGCTATCTCAGCAGTTCACAGGAGTGCTCCTCACTCTGCCTCCTCAAAATTAACTGGATTAGTAAAATCCATTTTTTAAACTGTCAAAGGCAGCTGGGTTTGCCAGCTAGGGGCAAGGGAACACTTGCACAAGTCTCTGAGCTGGCAGGTCAGAAAAGGTGAAAACATCTGGTAAGCGAATACTGAAAAGGCTCTAGAAGTGGCAACTCCACTGTCTTCAGTGATCAGAGCAATGAACACTGCAAAATCCTTTTGGAAAGGCCTGACAGTTTGAGATGTGCAGGACTGTGTTGCAAGGACATGCTCTGCTGAACAAATGAAAAAGGGTAATTCGGACTCCAAATACCAACCATGTTGATTAAATAAAGAACGACACTATTTACAGCTGGAGACTAGGAACTAAGAGTCCTGAGCCCTACTCTCATAAGGCTGCTGTGGCTATAAGCCACACTTATAACTTCAGTTATAAGTGCACTTATAAGTGAACTTTCTCAGTAAAACAGCATTAATAATATATTTGCACCCCAAACCATGAAACCTTTGGATGGTGTGCACTGCAAATGCAAGTATCATCATTACAGCACTGTGTTATTATTAAAGCAACAAGTTGGGCCAATGTTCCCTGGTGAAGGTTATTCACTATCAAAACATGAGTTCCTCTGCTGGCTCTACACACTTATTAATCAAACACATTTTATGAAGCATACTGGTTTCAGAGTAGACAGGTTGAGCACTGTTCAGGAAAGTTTTAAAGCAGACAAATCAGAGGTGACTGCAAGAAGTGTGATGGAATTGGGCAGCTGACTGAACTAACTCTCCAAATGTTTGCAGTTTTTGTACAAAAAGGGCTAGCAAAGTATCTGTGAGCAAAGAAAGTTCCCGTGCTGAGAGAAATCTATCAAGCCTAAGTGCAGAATGTAGGGATAGGGAAGTTCCACAGTCTATTTGTTAAGATCCCCTAGCTCTTAATTTGCCACTTAAATAATTTACTACAAAGTAATGTAAAGCTCATATGTGAACGGTACCTGTCCTGGACTTAGTGTAACAACATGGGCTGTTGTGTTCCTAAACTTGGGAAAGCGTTTCAGATCAGGATTGGTAACGCTGACTTTGCTGAATACACTGGATTCCTCATAAGGGATCCTGGTGGGATAAAGGAAGCTGGTGTCACCAGGTGGGAAGAGGTGCCATCTCTTCCTAAAAATAGACAGAAGATAAAAATGTATTCAGTGCATGTCAGTTACAGCAAAGAACTAAAGGCAGTAGCAAGGTTTTCAATAAAACATAAATCTGCCTCACTGCGTGAATCTCCTACGCAGTGAGAACACAGGCAGTACTTACAGGCTGTCTTCTAAACGTGTTTTTAAAACATTCCACTCTTTAATTTTTTAACTGAAAAGATTTACAGCTTCTCACCAATTATTTTTAAAAGGAAGATAAAATAAAATGTAAAAAGAAAAAAAAAAAAGCTCTCCCATCTGGTTCTTCCTTCCTCCCTTTTACAGAGCCACACACAGCATTTACAGATGCTCAGAGCATTAAAAATTGCTCTATAAACCAGAGTAAATGGTTTTGTTAGAGACAACGTACTTTTGCTCACTGAATTAATAGTTGCTGCACCCATGAGGGTGGGAACTATAAAGGGGTATCAACATGATCTTCTGTCTCCTATTCTTCACTTGCAGTACTTACTTGGCTGTCAGTCACAAAACCTTTATTCTTAGTAAAACTCACCCTGATGCCCCTATGCCAAAGATGGCGTAAATAAAAAAAGACATCCATACACATAAGCATTCTGAAACACCTGTATTTTTTTGTGTTATCAGTAACACAGTATGAAAACGTGACTTGTGTGGGCCACTGGGTGTTAGAACTTACTAGCACGACTAAATGCTCAGATGGAGCAGGACACAGCCATTCTGCTCCTGAGAGCACTTGTGTTCCAGGTTGCTCTCTGTATACCCAAAGAAGTGGGTCAACACGCTGCAGTGCAGGACCAAGCAGACCTAAGACATGGACTTTGTTCTCAGGAGCTCATGTCTCTAATTCACTTACATGGACCAGATCAAAGACAGAAAAAAAAAATATGCCAGAACTGGTGGTGCCAGTTTTATGGGTACTATAAATGAAATATCTTAGCAGGTACATATGTTATTTAGAAATAGAAGTTTTATATGGCAGTATGTTAGGTGATGGAAATAACCAGAAAGGAATACACAGAGAGAATTTATTACATTTAAGAGGTGCCAAACAATCAGTACAACAGTGACCCATGCACTAAGCAATGGAAAAGTAAAGGCAGCACTTTACAGTGCAGTTGGACAATTTGTTCAGCATTCCTATTTGTTTTAGACTCTAGCAATTTCATTTCTTCCCCCCCTCCCCCCCCCTTTCCTTGGTACTCACTTTGTGCTTTTTGCCTACTGCTTCTGGTTATCAGTTGTAAGTCAGAGATCTGAAAAGGGGAGAAAAGCAACCAAATGGCACAAAAACAGAAGCAGGGGAGGCAGAACTGCAGAGATGGAAGTGCCATAGGACACTAACGTTTCTGTGTAATTACCAAAGCTACTGCTGGGTGCAAGCACAAAAAAAGTTATCCTGAAACTGAAGCCCTACTGCAACTTTGTTTTGCCACTCAGGCTAGACCCTCTGACACGGCAGAGAGTAACCAGGTTAGGAGGCTCATGGGTTAATCCTGCAGGCTCTTGACAAAGCAGTATCATGAAGCAAAAAATTAAGAAGCCCGAGGGATGCAAGGAGGAAATTCAAGATAGGAACAAAGGGCTAAGGAGTCATCCCTGGCTTTCCTGCAAAGGCAAATCTATTTAAGTTTAGCATAAACTTATATTCTGTTACAGAGCCTGTCTTGTTTGTGAGTCTCAAAAGGGAATCTTTCTGCTCTGAGGAAGCACAGGATTTGCAAGCTTGTGGAAGTTTGCAATCTATTTATAGGCTTTGCTGTGAAGAGGAAAACAACTTTGTCTTTTCAGGCCATGCAAAGGCTTTAGGCTGCTTCTTTCCCTGATAGGAACAAGAATTTTGCTCTACCAGAGGGGGAGGAAATGTCTTGAGAAGGCAGGCAAAATTACTATGTGTTGCTGCTTGAGTTCAACATCTGAAGGTAGAGATCAAAGCGTCAGGGCAGGTACCAAGTCTGCTAAATTACTGTACTTACTTAGTACACCCAGTATTTAGGTGGATCCTTAGATGATATTTAGCCATGTAAGTCTCATGTTTTTCAATGAGATTTCTGGCTCGTAAATACACTTCAATGTCTGGACTTTAGTGCATAATGCTTACTGATGTGATCTGAAGTCTACAGACTGGCTGCAGCAAAACACAGTGCTGACTGTGGATTCCAGAGTGTCTCTGCTGCACATTTATCCAAGGATGTCAAGGCTGTTTATAAGCAAGAATGAAAATCTGCCTAAAAGAGAGGAACTAAAGAGTTTAGAGCTAAATGGAGTTACCCCTCTTACAGATAAGAATAAAATTCACTTGCCTCAGGCCTTAAAGCCTGTCAACCAGCAGTGCTGCCCAGCACAGAACCCAGCATCTGTGACTTGCAATCCTGCACCATTAATCATAAGACCACCATGATTTTACTGTTCTATAAAATGTCTGAGTACCTAATTACATTAAAATCGACTTTCTCCAGTCTATACTACCAAACCTAAAAAATACATGCAAATTGTTTTGTAACTGTAGCAATAATAGATGAAAAAAACCCACCAAACAACCCTGAGGTCAATATGCAGGAAAAGGAGGGAAAAAAAAGAAAGAAAAGAATGGGAGAGGGGGGAAGTCAGAATGCAAACAGGGGGAAGATACAGCAACAAAGCCACAAAGCTCCAAAATCAGCTTGGAGCCTCAAACGTCCCTTTTAACTTTGCTCACAGCTGGCTGCTCCCATCCTGATGTTCCCCTTTTAAATTAATTCTAGCAGGCTATTAGAGGCTCTTACAGAGATAATATCGTAAAAGTCTCAAGTAGTTTATTTCCATTTTGCTTCTGGGCTTTTTATTTTTAACTCTTTATCTCCTAATTCCAAGTTCCCAAATTCATAACTACTAGGAAGATTAAAATGTTTATTATTGGATCACACAGCATACAGATCGGAAAAGATCTTCCTCAAACTAAAGAAAGTATTACCTCTGCAACCCAAACTCCAACCTCCTCAAGTTTTTCCATTTTCTATAAAACAGTTCTGATGCCCTTCAGTCATTGAGAGCTCAGAAAACTAAAATAATCAGTACCTAGAATTAAAACTTGAGTCCAAAACTAACTTCAAAGAACAGTACAACTTTCTCCTGTATTTGATGTAGGCATACGGACTTGTTACCTTCCTTGTACTTGCAATACTAAGTTGCAACCGTAGGAGTCCAAATGGCAAGGGGTGTTTGCTCCTTCAGAACCAATCCACAGTGTGCTCTCTTTCCCACTTCTTCCAGGAAAACCAAAGTCAGACCACCTTATATCCTACAGCAATGAGAAGATTATTTATGTAAGCTGTTGAACCGATTCACATCTTACCTTCAGTTCTCCAAGTCTGTTGTTTTCTCTCTCCACTGCTTAGTTGCTCTTTATCCACAGCAGCTTTTGCTCCTTGGTGGAGCTCCTGCATGTATGGCCTGTACCCCTTCCTCCAAAATTCTCATCTCTAGTAGCATTTTTTTCTGCAGACATCCTTCTTTTTCTATGTGACGGCATAGCCTCCTAGATCCCTGTCTTCAGTTCTCATCCCAGTCTTTCATATCACTCAAGTTAACCCATTTGCTCTTCAGAAGGACTGACCAATTACTTTTGGTACCTATGGCTTCTTTTCAAACACTCTTTTATTTACTTTTTCCACTCTTAACCATCCACCCAAGCTGAGGACTGCTTTCAGAAAAATTCTCACATATGGCATTTAAAAAATGAATGAAAGGAAGGAAGGAAAGAACCCCTATTCCCTTTTCAAACCAATTTCATAACCCATACGGCATATTTGCTCTATCTTTTCACCTGTCTCAGCTTTCTTCATGTATTCTGGAAATGCAAGACTTTACCCCATCTGACCCAGTGATATGTTGCTTTTTAAGTTTCTTATTATTTCATGAACAAATTCTCCTCCTGCCTCCACAGTTGCAAAGGCAGTGCACTTAATGTGATTACATGGTAAGGAAGGGGAAAAGAGGTATGCATGCGTTACAAACATGATCCTGGAGCTTTCCAGTCCATTGATCCTCCCATAAGCAATCCCTTGGGGTTGGCAGCTGGAACAAGGCAGGGAGAGGTGCTTTTCAGATAGTTCAAGGGGTTTGCAGCATGGCTCTATATAGCTTGGATAGAGCCTTCCCATGTTTCTATAGCTCATCCTGCTATCTGCAGAGCCTGATCATTTGTTTATTGGAAAGCACTTGAAGTATAGTGGTGTCTTTTGGCTGGAGCTGCAGAATGAACCTTAGGAAACAGAGATTCAGTTCCTGGCTTCCTGATGGCCTCAGGCAAATCACTTTATCTCTCAGGTTTATTTTTCCCATCTCGAAAAAGAAAGTAACAGTATTTGTTCTGTTTCAATAAAAGCACATTGGGGTCATTCACATCACCTAACTTTAGGAGCCTAATTTAAGCTTGGCTCTTGCTCTTGTCAAAGCACTCTCATTCATGCCTTGGAAAAGCCTGCCTCTCTCTGCTATCTATAAAGAGAAAATAGGAGTTTAGCCTCCTAATTTAAGTATGTAAGCTAACTGCTTCCAGACAGATGGATGGCTACCATTTGATAAGATTTATGGATGAGGAAAACTACGGCTAGACGTTATTATAAGGATGACTTCACCATGACTCTGCATCAGGAAACCCTCAAAATGAGCAATAGCCTTCCCAAAAATGAGGTATTGCTAGAGATTTTGGATTTCAAAGTTATTGATTTTAAAGGCATAATATGAAAAAAACTTCAGAAGCATAATATAAACATTTGTCAGAGGCAGCAAAAAATCAAAAAGTCGCTCCTATAGATTTCAGCAGTCATAAAATTTAAAATCCAATACAACTATTTCAATGATAAAGTTAAGCATAACACTGTCTCTGCCCTTGAAACTCACACCTAAATAGGTTTGTATTTTGTTACAATTTAAGTGGAAAGAAAGCACACATAATCAATATTAGATTTGGAGGAACTTTTTGAAAATGCTGCGGCTGCAGTAAATAGTTGAAGTGATTGTGGGTAAAATAGTTTTTAACCAATGAACTGAAAAGGAACTGGTAGGATTACTGAAATCTTGTCACAGTGCACTCCCTTCTTACAATAAAAAGCCACAGTAAGAAGAAATGCACTAAAAGGTGTTCCAACCATAACAGATGGCACATTACTTGTGAATTATATTTATTTCATTTGCTGCTTATAATGAAGTTAATCTGTACCCGTATGTCACTTTAAAAGGTCTCATTTCTATTTAAACTTCACACATGTATCTTGCTTCTGATTTATATCTCAAAATCTGTAATGAAATATCAACTGAACAAAAAATGTAAGATGCTAGATACTGCTCACAGATTAGAATAATGGAATCATTACCTTAGCCCACACAACTGTAAATGATAAACAGTGCAATCTGAATTTCAAACAACTTCTAAATGGCCCTATTAATCACTATAAATAACAGTGCAGTTGGCCTTCTTTTCCCCTTCAAATCACCTTACGTAAATCTAAATAAAATATAAAAAGAAAAAAGGTGTTATCATCAAAATCAAACAAGAATGGAAGAGAATTTCTACCCATAATTCTTTTGTCTGATACAAATTGTGCAGCAGTGTTTCAAAAGCCGTTATCAGTCAGGAACTGATGGGTGCATTTCACTCCCATGCCTGTGAAACTGGCAGATGACATACACCATATTTGCTTGCATAACACCATTGATTTTTCCCTTCCCTGATTCTGCTTAAAAAAAAATAATCCATGGCATAACCATTACATGTGTCTATTCTAAAATTGGAATACAATCTGTTGCTTGTTATAGGTCAGGCGATGAGGTTGCGGTGTGACACCTGCACGGAAATGCAGTTCCTCGATCCTTAATTTTGTTCTTCAATGGGGCAAAGGGAAGAAGAATATAAGAAAATGGTTGTTTCCTTCAAGTGTGTTTTTATTGACCCAGTGAAACTATCCAGGTCTTCTGAGCTTGCTATTATCTCATTCCATAAAACACAGGAAAATGCTGTCTGTTGAGGCAGAGGGAAAACCACAGCAGGACCACAGCTAGAGGAAGTTACACAAAGATCTGGGGAAGCCTAAAACACCCCTGAAGCTCCCAATTTAGTTCAGACAACACAACCCATTATCAGTTGTGCAGCCGAAGTTCACTTCATCCTGGTTGTGTTTCAGTGTGCTTGGGAAGGGAGGGGAGAAAGAAAGGTAAGGTGGTCTCTGTGCCCAAATCTTACAGTCCAACCTACAGAACAAGGGAAAAGGAGACAGTCTGAAAAAAGACAAAGCGCTTAACAATACTAATTTTCCTGGTATCAAAGAATAAAATACATATAAGGAGCACGGGAAATGCTTTCTAAGGAAGTAATTAATTTGAGGGGGCTTATCAGTTCATACTGTCATCCCAGTGATAGTGTTTGCATGGAATTATGATTTGAAAGTGTAAAAATGAATAGTTGAAAGTATAGAAATGAATAGTAAGTATAAACAAATTTGAAAGTATAGAAATGAATAAGGCTTCATTTACTATTCTTTCTTTGTATCTTTGGAAAGACTATACCTTTTGTATTGCAATCCTTAATTCTGTCATCTTATAATTTGCAGGAAGTAGCGGGAATATAGATGAATCAATACATTGAAACAGCAGACAGACACGGAGAAAGTAAAAGGAAATACCCCAGGTTTCCTAATTTCCTTTTACTTACATTTGGAAATTACCATAGATTATGTACTTCCATGGACAGGTTACTTCATGTATTTTACTGCCCCCACAGGCAATCAAGACATAGTAATCCCACAGATGCAGAATCTCTCCTCCTTACAAACAGTTAATCTAACTATATTAAGGGAAAAAAATGAGCTACTTGAGAAAATGAGCCACAAGGCAAAACATGGAGCAAACACGTGTTGCAGCCTTGCTGCTACAAGTGAATCCATGCCACTAAATCCCCCCTCTCCTGAGCAGAGCTGTTAATTCAGGTACCTTTTCAGGTACAAGGTGGATTTGGGGCAGCTATCAGGGTGTCAAGTTTGCAACATGCCAGGCCTGTCGGCTGCCAGTCATCTTCACACCCTATTCCCATCTCACTCCTGCCTGCAGCAGAGGTGAAGGTAAGGTGTTCAGCTGCAGAGGTCACATACGTGACTGTGCTTCCAATGTCTGCCCAGTGACAAAATGATGCTGAGCTAAATGGGAAGACAATGCTGCCAATCTGGTAGTTGTTTTTGTCACTTGTGGTGGGGTTTTTAAGCATACAAGGGAGACCCAGATTCTTAGATGGCTGCCACTTGCTACTAGCTCTCCATTAGCCTGAGAGCCAATGGTTTTTATTTCATGTTTTTAAAATAAACCGCCAAAGGAGCAGAGAGGGGATAGCAGTAGAGATTTCAGAAACTACACTAGAGAACTTGCAATGATTAAATGAGGAAGAAATAATATTAATGTTTTACCTGGAAAAATTCTGGCTTGTCTTCAAATATCCTGGCAATGTATTTGTAGTCAGCATAAGCCCAGTATTTAGAGAATTCGTAACAACTGAATGGTCCAGAGAGACAAGAAGGCTGCCCACAACTCCAAGCCAAAAACTCTTCAAGTGTAGCCTTCACATAGCTACACCTGGTTTCAAACTGGGGAACTAGAGCAACAAATGAAAAGACAAATATTACACAAGCATGCTCAGAATCAGTAAAAATAATACATAGTTTCTCTCTCAGCTCTGGATAATGCAACATGAGATACTGAGTGGGAGTAGGTGGCTTGACTCTGGTCAGTAACATGGTTCTCATCACCTAACTCATAAGTCTGAGACTACTGTTTTTTTCATTAAGGTTTAAGTGAATGGCTGTTACCTTGAACTTGCTGTAAGATGCTGGGGAGGCACTCTTCATTAGGGACTGTAGTGATAGGACAAGGGGTAATGGGTTCAAACTTAAACAGGGGAAGTTTAGATTGGATATAAGGAAGAAATTCTTTCCTGTTAGGGTGGTGAGGCATTGGAATGGGTTGCCCAGGGATGTTGTGAATGCTGGCAGTGTTCAAGGCAAGGATGGACAGAGCCTTGGGTGGCATGGTTTAGTGCGAGATGTCCCTGACCATGGCAGGGGGGTTGGAACTTGATGATCTTAAGGTCCTTTCCAACCCTAACTATTCTATGATTCTACGATTCTACTGTTGTTCATGTGCAAGGCACCCTTCAGCACAGTAACTCAATAATATGCCCGAGTTCCCTAAACAACCGAGAACCTGTCCTTTTCTTCCTCTCCCTTCTTAAGCGTGAGCTGCAAATGTGCACACAAGTATTTGTGTATGGTTTACTTTGTCTCCATGAAGTTTTGTAGATAAGCATGTTCATTTTCCCCTTTCCCTAAAGCAGTAATGAAATCAGCACAGTTATGTGGAGGAAGCAAATTATGGAGTCACATGTGTGCCAATGATCTATCTAAAATGCTGTGAGTCCTTATTTTTCATTTGACACTAAAAAAAGCATATTGTGGTGTTCCTTGGCAGACATAAAAGTATCAACCAGCAGTGTTTTGTTCCTGTCATGCTTTCGTCAGGCTTACTGATAGAGCTTTCAGCTCATGGTCAGGTCACTTGGAAAGTCTGCAAGATAACGCATGTCACCCACATCACAGCATACTTTAATTGTGGATTATCACAGATCTTCATTTCCCACAGCTGCTAATTGTGTCAGCTTCAAAGAGACTTATCCAGTGATAAAAAATACTACTTTACTGTAGTACTGTAACCACTACTGAGGAAAAATTACTGCAGCCTGCATGAACTGACAATGACTGCAATTTAACCTTGTGCACCTTGCATAGAGCTGCTCAGAAATGGGATCCTTTCACTGTTGTGCAGCAGCAGCTCTTCATTCTTCATTTCTCTCTTTTTGTTATTGCAGCAATTGCCATAGTCATGCATTTGTTCTTATTCTCTCTGGGTAGAAAAACAGTTTTTACAGACCTCCGTCACTATCACTTTGCCCTTTTCCATTGTAGTAGCCTAGGTCGTAGTTTCCTTCACTTCACTATCAAATTCATTAACTAAAAATGTAAGATAAACCTTACTAATCAGCAACCTGTATCCTGGGTCTGTGTGTGGAAAGGGTTCCCTAAGAACTGAATACAAGACACATAAATCACCTGCCATAACCAAACCCCCCTATATCTGGTTCCCTGTCTGTATTGCAGTTCAATGCCCTCTCCTGATAGCCAGTAATTAATGCAACGCACATCATTTTTCTAAAAGCTGGTCTGCTGGAAAAATTAGGTAGAAGATACAATCACTATCTGTATTATTTTGCTGAGAACAAAGAATGCTTAGAACACTGCCTTTTATCCAAGATAACTCAGGAGCAACTGTTTTAAAGGCAAGAAATACGCTCTTTCTACCTCACAGGGTATTTCACTCTGAGCTTTAAAAAAATAAATAAATCCAACTATGAAAAGCAAGAGTATCTTCTAGGATGCAATCTTCTCAGGGCAGAATTCTTGGTTCAATTTATAATTTGTTCATTTCCATGGTGTGGGTGCTTATAGAAGAAGAAATAGCTATAAAAAACATATTTGGGCAATCTAGACAGATTGCTTAAATGGATTTGTAGACCATAACGGGGGTGAAAATGTTAGCAATGGGCAGCTGAAAGCAAGAACATTATTAACCAGTTTGCTAATACTTAATGACTGAAAGATTAAGGTGTTTCATAAATGATAAATTGTAGAATAATCTATGTACGTAAGTCTGAAGTTACCAGTGATGTCTGATGACATGGTATATGAAGACATGACAGTCCTCCTCTCTCCCACTTAATGCCACAGAATCAAACCAAAGAGAGGAAGGGAGAGAGGGAAGAAGTGCTCTTTGGAGGAAGCAGCTCCCCTTCTTAGTTAAGGTTTGGTCCTGAGAGATGCCAAATTCTGTTCTACTCAGAATGACTGTTTGCAATGCAATGTACTGAAGAAAGGATAACAGCCTTAGGAAGTACTCTAAAGCTCCAGTAAGAACGCAAGTGAAATGTCTCCTCCATTTTTTTAAGTTTGAAAGAAAACCAAATGTCTATTCACAACTGCTGGAAAATTAAAAATGTTTAAATGAGTAGTCCAAGAAAGGAATAGCCACTGAATACTATAACAAAGCACAGACACATTAACACACAAGAAAACCGGCCATCCACACCCAAGTCCAATGAACACCTCAAATTTCGGCTTTATGCAACTGTCAGTGTATGATATTTGTACTGTATTTTCAGCCTCCTATTCAGCTACTGAGTCTACAGCCATGTTTATAGTCCTTCTCTATATCAAACCTCAGGGGCTTGAATTCTTTTGCCATCCCCAGTGGTAAAACTTCTTGGGCAAATTTCCAAGTTGCACCCCTTTTGTATCCAGCTGCATTTCTGACAGCATCAGCTCTATCTAGCATCTCTAAATTTCCCCCAGAGATCTTGTGACTTATAACTGATCAACATCACACTTCTTGTTATCTCCAGCTTCCTCACAGTAAACTCACCATTTGTTTTACTACACGACCTGCAAGTGTGCGCTCGCAGCCCAGAAAGCCAACTGTGTACTGGGCTGCATCAGAAGTGTAACCAGCAGGTTGAAGGAGGTGATCCTGCCCCTCTATTCTTTTCTCCTGAGACCTCACTTGCATCACTGTGCACATTTCTGGTGTCCTCAACATAAGAAGAACATGGAGCTGTTGGAGCAAGTCCAGAGGAGGGCCATGAGGACCATCAGGGGGCTGTAGTATCTCCCATATAAAGACAGGCTAGGAAAGTTGGGGCTGTCCAGCCTGGAGAAGGGAAGGCTGCATGGAGACCTCATGGCAGCCTTCCAGTATCTGAAGGGGGCCTATAGGGATGCTGGAGAGGGACTCTTCATTAAAGACTGTAGTGATAGGACAAGGGCTAATGGGTTCAAACTTAAACAGGGAAGATTTAGGTTGGATATAGGGAAAAAAATATTTACTGTGAGGGTGGTGAGACACGGGAACAGGTTGCCGAAAGAAGCTGTGAAAGCTTCATCCCTGGTGATGTCCAAGGCCAGGTGGGACAGGGCTTGGAGCAACCTGGTCTAGTGGAAGGTGTCCCTGCCCATGGTTGGGACTAAATCATCTAAATTCTAAATCCTGCCCATGGCAGAGGGTTGGAACTAAATGATCTAAATTCTAAATCATTGTTTATAATGATTCATAAAGAATTGTTTAGGTTGGAAAAGAAATTTAAGATGGGCTATAATGCAGCCAGAAACTCTGCTTCTGTAGTTTTATTTCTGTAGCTTTATTCCTTCTGTACCTTTATTTCACTTCAGAAAAAGAAATCTTTCAGTGTGGTTGGAACTAGATGGGTAGGGATTTCCTGATTAATAGCACCTTCATTGTTTGTGTAACGAACACTGGTACTCTCTCTGGAGGTATCTTATCTCTGTCAACACTTAATCCTCTGTATTTTTTCCCCTCTTATGAACACATGTTGTTTAACTTGTGTATCAGACAGAAAACTACCAAACACAGAAACTTAGGTAGGTACATATCATTCACACAGATAATACTCCTACCTCCCACATTTTTCATGTTTCAAATATGCCTTCCGTGTGCCTCCAGAGCGTCTAAACTATCAAGAAAAGCAAATATAAAATCCAAGCAACTCCAACCAAGTTGCCCCATTTGCAACTTTTTTACATTAAAGAATCTTTGGGAATCCCCACCCATGCTGCAGATTTGACACTAAAGAAAGATAAGAAGTTGTCATAGTAAGAGGTCACAAATAATTTTGGATCTTACATATGAACCTTGTGGCTTAAATAATCTCAGAAACTCTCAAGCCAAAATACACCTACAACCAGAACAGTTTATTTCTTGTATCTGTTTCCAGCTCAGTGGCAGGACTGGTCCTGTCTAGTCTTAGGGCAATTAATCTACTGTAAACATGGGATAAATATTCCCATAAAGAATAAAATACAATTTTAGTTGTATTCTCCTGTTGCTTTCTCTAACCACATCACTGCCTCTGTTTCATCTGGGAAAGTTACCAACAACGTTAAGAAAGGGAGACCCTCGTTAAAAAACAATGTTGAGCATGCAAGAGTGAGATCAACCATCTTCCAAATGACAGTGGCACATAAAATGTATTACATTATTTCATACTCCGAGATGGCTTGGCTAATGGCTTGACTAATATATCCTTCCAATGCAAATTTTTTATAGCATCACTGGTTTCATTCAGTTATAAAATAAACCCTGAAGGCTTTACCCATCTTCTTGAAGACATTTCTAGCTCACATTAGCATATAATGGAGGTTCTTGGAGAAAAACTGATTACTGCCTACGGACTGATGTCTTTACAAAAAAAAGCAAAAATACAGATAGATGCAACTTCCAGACACAAGTTATTGTTCTGTGATGACTCTTATCTACTTGGTAACATCAATCCATCACTTAGCTACATAACACTCCAACAATCCCATCAGAAGCTTTCCCAGTTGACATTAGCATTTGACTCTCAAAGTGCCTACTAATGAATGGAGAGTAGGACCAAAACTGTCCTTTTACCTGGTAAGCTTTGTGTATTACAACCAAGATAACAGGTATCAAGGAAGATGTAACATATATGCAGTCTTCCCTATTGGCAAGGGGATGACTTTTACATGTAGTACAAGAATTGTCTGATACCTTGTTAAACTATAGAGATGTTGGTGTTAAGATGTGTATCAACATTAATTCTATACCTCAGTTAGCATGTAGAAAATGAATAAACAACATCTGTTTTCCCAGGAATGGCATAGGAATCATTAAACCATGATGGTAAAATGCTTTGAAATCCTAAATACCACATATTTTCCCTCTAATACTTCGTGTTTCATCACTTCTCTTGCAAAAATTGAACATGGAATATGGTCATGATGCTGTAAAGAAAGCAAATTTCACACAGTATTGTTAAGTAAGACAATGTGATGAAATTCTACCACTTCCATATGAACTGGTAATGCCTCTTGTGCAGGCCCTGAATTCCAAGAAAGAGGTAGTCCAACTAAATAAGATTAGAAGAGTACAGAACAAATAAATAGGTAGGAGTCTAAAAACATGAATTATTGAACATTTCTGAAGACTAGGCGGAAAAAAAAGACTGAAGAGAGACAAGATACTTTAGGAAAAAGGGAGAAAGTGCACAGCAAAACGTATTTTGGTATGTGATTGGGAGGGCAAAGGATGTACAGGGCACAAAAATAAACCAATTCATAACCTCTAAAGCGGCTAGCAGACTGACACCTTGAAGCATGTTTCCTGTACCTCCCCTTGCTATTATGAAACTCTGTCCATGGATAGGCTATGACTAATGTTGTGTGGCTGCAGGCAGACATTAGTTGCAGTATTTAAAATCAAGTGCAAACATTGTTTTTCTCTAATGGCACGTTCCTAGATACCTGAGTGAATCTGGAGGGTTAGAGGTGAAATTATTGTACTGGTGTCAAGTGATTTTCTTAATGCTTTATACTTCTACAGCATCTTTCATCACAGTACCTTAAAGTATTGAAAACCATCACGGCCTTACAAAATCTCTGGAGAAAAAGGTGAAAATTATCAGCATATGACAGATTAAAAAAAAAAACCAAGATAGGCTGGTTAATTGGCTAATTCTTTAATGTACTCAGAATGTACTTTGCAGATACGGAAACTTAGGTCACGTGAACAACTGAACCATGTTTTAGACCAGAATCAAATACACACACTACAAAACAAGGAAAGAACACTGAGATCACAGAATGGTCAGGATTGGAAATACTTGATTCTTGTATGTTAGTGTTACCCACCGCATATCTTACTAAAAATAAATACACAAGAAAGAGAAAAGAGTGTTCTACTGTTGGTCAAATCCCATATCCTAAAATCAAAGCCTGCAGCTGAAAAGCAATACATAAGAGAGCGAATAATGATAACGGAGAGTCAGAGACTTGCAGAAAGTGAGAAAGAGTTGTGACATGTAATGACTGTTCACTTGGGTCTCACCTAAACCTATGGTCTTCAGGCTTAGCCTAAACTGGATTGTCTTTCCATTCAACACAGCAGAAAGGTATTTTGCATTCCAGTGCAGGGCTGGCCAATCACCAACCATGTTACAGAAGACTGCAGGTTGCTGTAGAGACATCACAATTTCCTTGGTTTTCTCAGGAGTAAATGGCTTGACGTCTTCACCTATGTAAAGAAAAAAAAACAGCTTTAGAGTGATGATTTATGATACATGAAATGTTGCCTACCATTCAGGCTACCACATCCTACCACCATCCTACCACAGCACATGAAACATTAAGAACATGTTCTTCATGTTGTTTACTTACACTTGTAGATATTTTTAAAGTTAAATTTCTACTGCAAACACTGAAAGAACATTCTTACACTAAATTAAAGCGGTGTATTAGCACATAAAATGTAATAAAAAAATAAAAATAGGCATGTGTTTAGAATTTTCACTTGTAGTTTAGGTAATAAAGCACTGCAGCCAAACTGCTTAGGATTAGGCTAGCAATAAAAAATCCTTACAAATAATGTCCAAGAGTTTAGAGAACATAAATTTTATGAGTAACAGTCTTCCTGCATGGGATTCCTTCCAAGAAGTGTAACTCAGTGTCAGAGACAGAAAACCAGGTTCCTATGCATTGGATTTAAACCAAGGAACAGCAGCATAACCTAGAGAGCAGGTATGTAAAAAGTGTTTAAAAATTTCTTTTTGTCTACAGAATTTTAGAAAATGGCTATTGTGCCAATCCAAAACCTAAACTAACCCAAGATTGCCATTTACTTCTTTGCTGTTTACATGCCCCACGGAAACGGTCAAGCTGAAAAGGTGGCAACCTTGAAAAAACTCAGCACTTTCAGGACAACTTTTCTTTAGGGACATTTTGAGAAGGAAAACATTTTAAAAGAAAAAAAAACAGAACACCTCAACACATAACAGCTCCACAGAGCTGAAGCAGTGCACTACAACTTTGGATCATAAAAATATCCACTCATTATTTTAAGCTCTACTGAAGTTAACCAGGAATTGTATCCCTATAATACCTAAGATTTAACATACTGAACTGATACGTCTGGTTCCCCATGACTCCTAGCAGCTCATTTACGGTAAAAAAAACCCTAATTCAACCACTCTATTTAGGAGTCAAATCATGGTCTGGTATGCACAATGGGTTAAATCAGTACAAGAGAAAAAAATCCCATTTACTGCTGGGTGCTTTCCCTGTGTGTGAATGGTGGGACAGGTAATGGAGTCCCACAGAAGGCAGTCCCACAAAAGGCAGCCCTGCAGTGCCAGCTAGGGGAAACACAGAAGACTGACTCACTGGGAACAAGGGCACCAATGAGGGCTCTTCAGGATTGTTCCAAACATAGAGTTTAAAATAAATACATGCATGCTGAAGTGCAAATGGTAGGAATAAGAGGAGCCCTGTGAATGCTCCATGCCATATCTCTTTGGTGACTTTTGTGAGTCCCTCTTCTTTCAACAGGGCTTATACTACAGCATAGCTATACTTTCAGTTTTCTAAATTAAGCTGCTATCTTGACATGAATTTGGTGGGAGGTATCAGGGCTGAGGTCCCTTTTCTCACAGACTTCCAGGGAAACTGAATCCCTCTCTCCTTTCACTCATGAAACTCCATCCTGAAGCTTTAAGCACCTCTGCTATTTTAGATTCACGGAACATAAAATTTTTAAGTGGCTTCCCTTCTTTAAGGCAGATGACAGGAGGGAGTTTGTTTTCCACATTTCCACGTTTCTTTTCATGTGCAGAGCAACACTTGACAGGATGGTGTTGCTGTGACACAGAGATGTCTACGACTCTTGGCCTTCAGTCTCACGCCCCAGCAAGTTGCACAACCCGGACATAAGGAGGCCTCATGGGGACCATATGTCTTACCATACGGTCTTCTCTATCCCCAGAAGGAGGCTCTAGGGGTTTCTGAGCAATAGGTCAGTACACCTAGAGGGAGTAAGTCCAGGTAAGGCAGAAAGACCATCTGCAGACACAATGGCATGTGCTAGTGAAGATACCAGGAGCTGGCTGTAGGCATGGTAAGAGTTTAAAGCTCAGCATGTTTTTTCAGTGACACTGTTCAAAGACTAAGGCAAAACTCAGTCCAGATCTGAACACTCCTATGGGGTTTATAAAATTTCTTCTGTCTTTATGCAGTAAAATTATAATATCATACAGAGGCAGCTTTCATGATGACGGAGCTGGCTGGCCTTACATTCCTCTCGCATTTTTCAACTCAAAAATGAAATTTCTCTTGTTTAGGCCAAGTTCATCACCACATGGCTGTCTTTTTGACTACTCAATCATTTTTGTTTTAACGTCAGTACATTTAATTATTTTAGAATATAAAAATCCAAAGAAATGCAAGAAATTGGTGCCTTTTTTTTTTTTTTGTTGTAAGATTTTGTAAAGCTGAATTTCATTGCAAAAGCTTCAGGTTTATCCTGTAACTTCAGTCAACAGTTCAATCTGCTGAAAGCAGAACTTTTACCGAGAGACAAGAAGACTCACTGAAACCAAGCGTTGATTCTGTGTGGCTTTCTAATGTGATTTTCACATGCATATTGTGCTTTTAAAAGGTGTGGTTTCAACCACAGTGAATATACTGTAGGAAGCTCAGAGCTCAAGAGTTTGTATAAATTCATACAAATGCCAGACAAAAACCACAATTAGACAGAATCACTGAATGGTTGAGGCTGGAAGGGACCACTGGAGGTCATCTAGTGTAACCTCCCTGTTCAAGTAGGGTCACCTACAGCACATTACTCAAGACTGTGTCCAGATGGCTCCTGAATACCTCCAGGGAAGGAGACTCCACAGACTCCCTGGGCAACCTATTCCAGTGCTCAGTCACTCTCACAGTAAAGAAGTTCTTTCTCATATTCAGATGGAACTTCCTGTGCTTTAGTTTATGCCTGTTTCCTCTCGTCCTATCTCCTGGCACCGCCAAGAAGAGCCTGGCACCCTCCTCTTGACACATACCTTTCAGATACTTACATACATTGATCAGATTCCCCTGAGCCTTCTCTTACGGGAACTCCATGTCTCTATCGTACTGGGGAGCCTGGAACTGGACAATTCCTAATGCAGCCCATTGGCCTTCTTGGCCACGGAGGCACACTGCTGGCTCATGGACAACTTGCTGTCCACCAGACAGCCAGGATCCCCACATCCCTCTCTGCAGAGCTACCTTCCAGCAGATCAGCCCTCAGCCTCTACTGATGCAGGGGGTGACTCCTCCACAGGTGCAGGACCCTGCACTTGTCTGTTGGATTTCAACATGTTCCTCTCTGCCCATCTCTCCAGCCTGTCTAGATCCTTCAGGGCAGCACTCTGGGGTACCGTCTGCTCCTCCCAGTTTTGCAGTATCAGCAAACTTGCTCAGGGTACATTCTATCTATCTACCCTACTGAACATTTGCTGGAGGTTTTTGTCATGTCATCATGCTTTATTCAGTTGTAAACCTATTCCCCCGTAAAAATTAGAAACAATGAAAGAGGACAGTCTGTTTAAATAAGATGCTAATCATTCCTATCTTCAAACAGCACTAAAATCACTGTTAAATGAGTAATCTTTTCCTGACATATATATATAATCACATACAATACATATGATAAAATCAGCAGTGAAGTCTAAAATGTTTCAGAAAAAGTAAAGCATTAGATAAATGAACATTAGTATCTTTCTCCAAAGACAAATGGGGATTCTTGCTGACTTTGTGTGAAGAATCTTTAAGTGTCTTGATTCAGCTTTATGTATTCCTTGGTGAGAACAGCAGTCAGCTAGACATTATTATTTTCCCATATTTGTCATGCATATCTAAATGCCCGTTAGAGAAAAGGCACACAATGAAAGGTAAATACCATATTCTGTTATCAAATAGGTACTATGATAATTTGGAGAACTCTGCTTAAGACCAACAGACTTCTGATTGAACTATATGCTGTAGGAGTGGTAAAAAGTAATTAGAAGAGATATCTGAAGACATCTCTTGAAAGACAGATTAGCAGAAAAATGTGTAATGTAAAATCATAATAATCTTTTTCTTGGTTTTTATCATAGCTTCACAGAGACCTCATAAGCTAGGCTCTTGCTTCTCGGTATCTCCTAACCTGAAATGGATATAATTAATAGGCAAAACCTGAGGTCATATAGCACATATAAGGGCAAACAGTTTGGACACAGATGTTTCTCAGTAAAAGGTATATTAAAAAAAAAAAAAAAAAGTGTTGCAAAGAAACAAAACGTCCATGGCACATCTTGGACATTACATATAAAATTCCTACACGAGATCAGGTAGCAGGAGGGAACAGAAATGCGTATTCCCTTTGAAAGAAAAGCTCTGCAGGAGTCTTCATTTTCTCAGTTGTACTCTGACCCAAAAGAGAAAAGGAATACTTTAAATTAGTTCCTTCTATCAGGCTCAACAAAATGATGTGCCTTCACAGTACAAAAGGAAGCAGGAATAATTTGCCACGTTTTGACTTTACACAAGGCATGTATAGAATCCAACCAGGAACTGAAACACCAAACGGAGCTTTAGCTTGAGTTTTGTAACCATGACAGCTTATATAATTGGCGAAAAAGGTAGGTGTTCTGTAGAAAGGTAACACATTGCGAAATGGAGATCTTCCAATTAAAAAAACAAAGGTCTCCAGTCGTCTTTACATGTGTTGTCAAATACGAAGACACATCCAGACTCAGCACTGAGGGCAAGTAAAAGAAAAGCAATGAATTGGCTAAGTACTTTCCAGTAGACTTTGTGCTTGCAAGAGAGAAAATAATTTAATGTTTCTGATTAACAATTTTTCTGAATAACTGAGTGGGATTTGGGAATAAAGAATTTAGTACAGCAGGCAGTCTGACGAAAAGTGAACTTGATCAAAGTTGTTCAGAAGTTAAATGTACTGTCATTAAAAAGTTAAGTGTAGTCATTCATTTAAAATAATTTAGCACATTATAAGAGTTCATTATTGCGTGGTAGTTGGCTTCTGTCAAAACACCCTGCTGCTTAAATATGAGATTTAATTAAGAGGTATTAAAATTATTTTCTAAAAGAGGGAGTACAAGGAAATCCTGGCAACGTATTTGGTATAAGAATCATGAAATTGTTTTTCTTATAAATCTGTAATGCTTCATTATCCTTATTTCTTTATAAAAAATC